AAACTTTGAGGCTTTCGATGAGGAGCGTGGGGGCCTCAAGATTGTTCAAAACTCTACCACTACTGCCAATACTACAACTACTACGGAAGTTCAAGCTGCTGCTGCTGCTGCTGCTGCTACTACTACTACTACTACTACTACTACGCGCACAGTTCAAGCAGCGTGAAGTCTAGTCGTCCTGGCCAGCAGCTGCGCCCATCTCTACTTGCGGAATCCCTCCCACCCTCCCTACTACCTACCCTGGCAGTACGTCGGCTCCGATCCGTTTCGCTAGCCGCTAGCCCAAAGACTGTCAGCATCAGATGCAACCGTGCCAGGCATACCAACAAGCTTGCCTTGCTCTGTTGCCAATTGTACTTCTTCAAGGCTCTTCCTGCCTACACCCTTTCTGTCTCAATTCTTTCCGGCCTTGCTTCCTCTTGCACCACCGGGAGTTCTGCTTCGTCACTGTTACGGATTCACTTAAACCAGGTTCGATGGAGTCCCTCACTTGAACCCCTAGAACTAAAATTCGGGTTTAGGATTTCGGATTTCGGGCTGTTTACATTTGGGGCTTTGGGGTTTCAGCTACACAAGTTGTTCCGACTTCTATATTAATTCGAAGGTTTGGGTTCTTTGGAGTCACTACCCAGCACATCTCCATCTCTCAATCATCAACTTCATCATCAGGAACTAGTAGCTATTTTAAACCGGTCATCCACAGCATCATCCAATAAACCCTAAACCCTAAACTCTGAACCTTCCACCACCACCGTGATCACGAGGAATCTAGGAAATACACATCCTCCGCACCCAGAGGTAACCCCTAAACTGCAATCTCAGCCCTCTGCCTGCCGCCCAAAACCCTGAACCGCCTCTAAAATCCCTAAACCCCAAACCCTAAACCCTGAAATCCCTAATCCCTAAACCCTAGAAGCCCTCAATCCTAAACCCTAAAATCCCTAAAATCCCTAAAACCTAAACCCTGCACCCTAAACTCCCTAATCCGAAAATCCTAAACCCTAAAATCCCTAACCCTAAACCCCTTTTCCCAAAAACCCTAAACCCTAAACCCTCGCTCCCACCGGCCCTAAACCCAAACCCTGAGGCCCTCAAAAGTCCGGTCCTCCGCATCATCAAGCGTGAGCACGGGCTCTCCATCTGACTCCTCGTCGCCCACCTCCGCCAGACTCCGATACAGCAGCTTTAAGAAATAGAGTAATTAATGCTCTTTTACAATGTTGCTTTATCAGGGGGTTATAGTTGTAGGGTTGTGTAGGGTTTTAAAGGGGGTCTGAGTATGGGTCTTGATAATTATGACAAGGTTTCGGGGTATACCATGCTACAACTCCAAATGGATTCTAAAAGAATTACTCAGACCACTAGCCCTGCCCACCGGAGGTGACCGTCATAGTAGTGCCGGTCTTTTCATGTTGAGACTCGATTAAACAAATGACTCGCACCCCGAGCCCACACTAAAACTAAGGGCCTAAGCCCTACACCTTCAATCTCTGAAACCTAACCTAAACCCTAAACCCTA